TGTCCGTCACAGTCTTTTTAATTATAACTTTGATAAATTAGCATTCGTTCAGTAGTTTTTGTGTCCGAGATAATTAGGCAATGGCTTATTATTATATTTTTTTAGATAGAATCGTAATAAACTTTAAAAATTTTATGGCATCGTATCTGCCTCTAACACCCTGATTATCGATAAGATGTCATGACCTTTTTTCTTTACGAAAATATATATATATATATATATATATATATATATATTTCTAATATATTGTCGTCAACAGATATTAGAAATTCAAACAATCAAAAGACATCGTAAAATTACAGTTAACTTTAAAAGTTTTATTGTATAAAATTTCCACAAAATGACTCAAATAAAACATTAATTTTATAAAACATGCAATTCCGGAACAAGGAATGTGCAGTCCTCGAATCATATTGTACTTTTGGAATTGGAGAAATTTAGAGATCGACACTTTCCTAGCATAGAGTATCTCATAAAGTATCGTAATTACCGTTTGTCGCATACATGTACAACTGAGAAACCACCGTGCGTGTGTTTAGCAATTATAATTATTTGATTTCAAAGTTAAACCATTATTCTCAAATATTTTTCCCTTAAATATTCAGACTATTAATAAATATTATTTCAATTTAACATTAACATAACGTTAAAAAAAAGCCGTGTGACTTCAGGCCCCAAGACCATAAACTGAGAATAGACTTAAGTCAAAATTTTGATTTTTAATATCTTGATTTTTATTTAATGTATTTGCTTAAAAATTTGCAATTTTATGTAATATTTAAATTCAAATATATGATAAAATTTTTGTTTCATTATCAAAATTATTTCAAAAGTTATGTTGGTTTGAAATTTTGACTTAAGTATGTTCTCAGTTTATGGTCTTGGGGCCTGTAGTTTGCATACGAATATACGAGTCGGTCTGTGTACGAATTAGTTGTAGGTCGGCGTAATTTAATGAATATTCATGAAACGAGAAATATCGATAACGGCAAATATCAGGAATTTAGCTTTATGCCCATCAACAAAATGTCTTTGAAATAACTTGAGAGTATTTGTTAACTATGTGCATTTTATTTTCAAACATCGAATCAACCCTATTTTCATTATATTGACTCTGCAAAAATCGCCGCTAGGGTCCCTGTGATTTTACACTGTTGTTATTTATAGCCAAAAAGCAGCAGCAATAGCCTGTGGCTATAAATAGCCAACGTCTAAAAAGCGTAAACTACCCCAGGCATGTTTTATCGTATACCATTGTAACAACGCAAAATGTAACAAGCATTCTGAGAGTATTGCATACAGTAGCTGCAACGTTATTGTTGACAACTTACACGAACGATTCATAAATTTTAAGGAGATGAGATCGAGATCGGGAGACATCTACGGTCATATGAGCAAGAATGAGCCATTTATTATTACTTCTGGTGTAATCGGAAGTGACGTCATTTTGACGACTTTTGATGATCTCCTTAGCTGCTACTTGTCATTTTCAACAACTTTGCTTCTATGATGCTATACAAATTCTCAATACTTTTTGAGATATCAGGAAAACACTTTTGGCCCCTCTATATAGCTAGCTCCCTAATTTTAGGGGCCAGCCCCTTATTGTTGATATCTTTTGAAAGATCGTATCATTCTACACAACTTTTGCTCTATATGTTTAACAAAATATTTACAGGTAAAAAGATATTGTAGAAAAAGTGTTAGAAATTTTAAAAATTCCTGATAGGACTTTTTTCGGGCCATAGCGAACGACGAAGTGCGGCACTTCCGGGGAAAGAGAAATGCGTATGTCACATCTACACATGTTGCTCTATCATCGCCGAAAAATGTCACTTTTCTGTCTAGAAGCGCTTTTGAAGAAACTGCTGGACAAAGTGACCCTCCGAAAATTACTAAATGGCGGAAAGCTCGGAACTGGAAGTGACATCATCAAAACAAAAAAAATAGATATCTAGATTTTTTTATGTTAAATCAGACCTGTAAGTTTCATGAATGTCGAGCGAGCCGTTTCCGAGAACTCGCGTGCACAAAATCGGAAAGGAAGAAAAAAACAATAATAACTAGATGAGATCTCGTTGCGAGCAACGAGTAGGTCTTCCGTCCGATTTTTCGATGAGATGAGATGTAATTTTAATTAATTTTTCGTTAAAAGATAATGATATAAAGATTTCTCTCCTTAGATTTCAACCTTTTGATTTATATAACATAATCTTGAACATCTTTCGTTCAATATTGCTTTTCAAAATATTCCCCCTTTTCGAGATATGAAGTGTAAAAGATTTAATATTCTGGCCACTTATGGCAGTTATGGCCCCTTATTATGCAATAGAGAATCAAAATTTTACAACATATTGTTGCATATTGTTTCGTTAAGCATTTTTGCTTCAGTAATTTATAAAAAATTCTTGATCATTGAAGAGTTACATATTAGTCTTTTGGCCCCTCTGAGCCCCTAATTTGAAGGGTCAGGCCCTTTTTCTTGATATCAAATGAAAAGACTTGTGATTTTAAACTTTTTTTTGTTTTAGAAGTTTCTTCTCGTCTTCGAGATATGTGGAATAGAAATATTTAGGGACCAACCCTTCAAGTCTTTTATGACTCCGTTTTGCAAAAATTGAAAGGATGCATATTGTTTAGAACATTATTATGAACATCTTTTGTTTAATAATGCTTATTAGAATATCTCCCCTTGTTTAGATATAAGGCGTCAAATATAGAGAATTCTGGCCCGTTTGGCCCCATTTTTACGCAACGTATTATCTTAATTTCAAAATGTATAGTGGCAAATCGTTAAGATGAGCATTTTTGCTTCAGTATTTGATAAAAAAAAAATATTGATAGTTAGAGTTATAGATGAAAGACTTTTGGCCCCTCTGAGTCCCTAATA